GAAAGTGAAAGTGAAAATTGCAGGTGAGAAAGTGACTCACTTTAAACACTATGGGTGTTTGATCGGATGTGAGTGATTGTGAGAGTGAAATGCATAATAGTAGCCACGTAGGGTTTTTAATGCAATTTTAAATTCTCCCCTGAATACAAGAGAGAGAAGTGTAGGCTCTAGCATTGAGTCATCAATATTGATAAAACTTAACAAGAATGGACCCCCACTTTCCTCTCTTGTAATGTGGAAGTAGTGTAGGGAGAGTAGTGTTTTTATCACTACTCTTGTAATATATAGACACACACACACATAGATACATATACACACACATAGATACATATAGATATGTATGTATATAACATACATACATACATACATCTATATATGTATGTATGTATGTATGTATATATGTATGTATATATATATATATACTAGTGTGCACCTCATACAAAGCACGGTCTCCATTTTTTCATTTCTGCTACAGTAATTCTGTATTTAAATACATTTTTTGTAACTGCTACAGTGGCATGTTTAATGCTACAGTGATATTTTAAAACACTACAGCTCCCGCCTGTGATACAGTAATAATGCTACAACAATTTATTGTAGCATGAATAGTTAATCTTAGATCATCCTGTTTGTGCTGTAGTAACATGCTTCAGTATTCACTGTATTATTTACTGTAGCATTAATAGTAAATCTTAGATCCTACCATTATTGTAGAGGAATAGATATACACACATAGATACACACATATATATACATATGTATATATGTATGTATATATATGTGTATGTATGTATGTACTCACTCTTATGTAAACTATACTCACTCTTATGTATGTATGTATGTATGTACTCACTCTTATGTAATCTATACTCACTCTTATGTATGTATGTATGATGTGTGTGTGTATGTATGTACTCACTCTTATGTAAATTTAAGTGGATAAGAGCTAATCATCCACCAACTTTTTTATCCATTGATATTGCCTTGGGATCCGTGAAAGATATAAAGAGGCTTTTGAGATTTGTGCATCTCTTGATGGCACAAATCTAAAGACAAGATGACTGGATAAAAAGTTTGGTGGACAATGCCTCCTATCCATTTAAGTTGACATAAGCTCATATCTCTCTCTCTCTCTCTCTCTCTCTCTCTCTCTCTATATATATATATATATGTTATACTGCTGTCACAATTACCCAAATTTTAGTTGTGCATTTTATTTGAGGCTTTATTCCACCTTCTGAAGTAGAATATGGGAACATGTTCAATTTCTAGATAGCTTCTGCAGCCATCCACAACGTAGATTAATTTAACACCTCTGCAATTCCTTACTCAATTCTTATTTTACCATTCTACCTCAATGGCCATACCCTGACTAGGTATTTTTTTGATTTCTTGTTCTTATTTATGTATATATTCATTCTAATTTTAACTTTTCAGGTTTGGAGTATTGTAACTCAGCGCCAGTGCGATCAAATAGCAGCAATTTGCTGTACAAAGATCATGATGTTATCTTTTCAAGATCAAAGACTCTCAAAAAGGATTTTCCGAAGTACGATTTCAAGCTGGATAGGCTATCTGAGAGTGAAAAGGTATGCACAAATACTATACAGTAATATTTACGCCTCACGTTTAAAGAAGAAAATTACTCATCGAGCTAACCTGTGGCTTCTTCCATCATTTGCATTTGATCTAGTGATATTTAACATTCAGAGCTCTCTTTACTAGGTTAAAATGCTTCGCCATGTGCATGGACTGATGTCCATATCTTATATGCATATATAAATATTTCTAAGGCCACAAATTTTATTGATAAATCTCTGCATGTATCAGAAAAAGATCATCGAGAATTTAGTGAAAATCCAAAAGGATGGTACCTTGGAGGTAGATGTGTCACATGATGCACCAGTACCTTCAGAGCTGTTAGAGCTTGATTCTGTTGATTCTGTGCCATGTGATAGTGGAGAAAATATCTTCAAATTCAGCAAGATAGTTCCAACTTTGAAGATCGCTATACTTGTAGTTGGAACAAGGGGAGATGTTCAGCCTTTCATAGCTATCGCAAAGAGACTTCAGGCACGTAAACTGCAAATTTTGGTTATACCTGTATTTATTGACTCAATATTGATATTGGTGCACCTTAAAGAAGGAATTTCATAGTATAATGTAATCTTATGATGATGTCGCATTGAAAATATAGCCTTGGAAAACTAATTGAACGCTTGGTATTATGTGTTAGTATATTCATAATTCAGTCAGACTGACTGTTCTCCGATCCTGTAGTGGAACAATAATCTGTACTTTTTAAAATAACGTAAGAAATATATATTGATGCTTTGAAATGATGAATTGCTTGTGATAAGCCTTAGCAGGGCATCATAGATGATCATCACTGACGCAGTTTGAAAAATAGTCATAATATCCATTACCAGTATATCCTCGACATGGTCAAAGGACTTGGAAACAATATTTTAAATATCGGCCGATAAACTAATATTATTGGTGATATATCGGTTTTGGGGGCCTTCTGCTATGATAAGTTTGATTCTAAATTGGTTATCGTTTTTTGGAGTTTATCGCCGATAATGCGGCAATAAAGTGAGTTGCCAGCGATATGCTGATATTGTCAGCTAAAAAATCAGAATCATCGGCTTTTGGTTTGAGTTTTGATTTCGGGCAATGAGGACCTATTCAATCGACTTTAAACCCGACCCAACCCAAGTTTCTAATATTTGTTAGTGATCCTAAACATAATTATTTACATTTTGGTATGTTTATATTTCATTAAATATGGTTAGATTAGATTTTAGAATTTTAGAATATTATATTATGTATATCACCATCCGGTAATGTCACTCCAATAAATACTACTTATCTCCGATATCCGCTATTCGATATGAATTTTGACGGTCCGATAAATCCTCAAAAACGGATATTTAAAACCTTGCTTGGAAATCTAGTTGGCCGAATGGGTCGGCATCGAAAGTTCTCGATATTTTGGGAGCTTTCACCCTTTCGACATATTCCTGTTTCCTTTATGATACTTAAATTGTAGAATGTTGACCAAAACTGATCTACTTTGCATCCTATGTACTGTTTGCCGAAAAATACAGGGTTCACCTACCAGGAGCCGACAAGTTATCTTTAAGATTTGACTATAATTGTATCTGCAATTCACTATCCTTGGTCCTTTTGATTATAAACTAGGTGCTAAATATATATAAGACAGCTGATTGTTAGTTTGATTGTAGTTTAGCATTTGACTGTGTGACAGTTTGGCTTAACTTGCACATGATGAGTAGTTATTGTCCAACATAAGTTATGAAATTTTCAATCTTAGACGTCAGAAAGCAAGCATTTGTATATGTAACTGCTTTAAACATTTCAATAATGTGACATGAAACCTGAAATTGTCCTCTCTCTTTTTTTTTTTTGGCTTAGCATTTGATGCCATGTGACCCATACAATACAATACTGTTTTATATTACCTGAAAATATTTATCTACTCCAACTTTAGCATATATGCATACTTATTTTTCTTGCTTTCAATATCTGCAGGTGTTTGGTCATCGCGTTAGACTGGCAACTCATGTCAATTTCCGTAATTTTGTGCAGTCACATGGCATTGAATTCTATCCTTTGGGTGGTGATCCTCGTATTATGGCTGGATGTAAGTAGTCTAATATTGCTTGATTTTTTTGAAATTTACTTTTGAAGCTCTTGTAATGTATAGATACAAATATGATTTGGATTTATAGGTCAACTTAATCTCCATTTTTTGTTTATATTTCCATTCTGTGACATTGGGGACCTTCTCTTTGTAAGCATTTATGTCATCTTGTATGAAGTTGAGACTCACTGTTCTTCAAAATATCCCTAAGTACTCCTTGTGAAGCTGTAGTTGTTGTAAAATATCTCCCAAGGTAAAAAGAATTCTCACCTTCAATCTTAAGATTTGGGCTAGTTTTGTCAACATGTTTTCTTTTCTTTTGGGATATTGGAAAGTTTTGGACATGTTGTAGGTTTTTTCTTACAAGACAATCTATAATATCCTGCTTTTTCATATGTTCAAAAGTTCTTGAGACCCCCTCCTTTTTGTAAGCTTTTAATGGCTTTTCCTGCTATCAATTTAATTTATAGACAGATTCGGCCGGGGACTTGCGTGGATTTCCAGAAAAAAGGCACACAGAAATAAGTCATTTAGAACATTATTGAAATCACGGGCTTCTTCTGTGTGAGACAACTCATATCAGTTTGCACGTTATTCTATTTTTGAATATTTCTGCACCAAATATTGAATTGAAAAAACATTTGTTTGTGTTTTGAGCTTATTAATATTATACTGGTTCACTGAACTTAATGTCAAACTTTTTCCTTGTAGATATGGCTAGAAACAAAGGTTTCTTGCTATCAGGACCTGCAGAAATATCCATACAGCTGAAGCAACTGAAGGAGATTATACATTCTCTTCTTCCAGCATGCACAGAACCTGATTTAGAGACAGGAGCATGTTTTAAAGCTCAGGCAATTATTGCAAATCCTCCCGCATATGGTTAGATTACTTCTTAAAATTTACATATTTATTTAACTTCTAAACATATATTCAGTTCCGTTGTAGGTTTTCCCCCCTCCTGGTACAGCTGGGCAAACTTTTTTTTCTTTTATCTATTTATTCGAATATGGTTGCCTCCTAAAAGGGGAACATTGGATTTTATTGCATCGTCCTTGGAAACTATGGGATGTATCCTTCCTAGATAAGTGATTGCTGCGGATCTAGAAATTGTTGCTTAATTGAGTTAGAACAAACAAACAGTGCGTGGAAATATACACCTGAAGACACAAAATCTTTCTCTGCCTAGTTGGCTAAGGAAATATTAGAGAAGAATTTCTTGTTTGCTGCCTCATTATTTGTAACTGAGATTGTGTCTGCTCTGATATTGTCTTATGATCATTCAAAGTTGCTACCAGTTGTTCTTAATTAGCCAAGTTGAAGAGAAAGCTGCTTAAACATTAGGAGAATTATTTAATTGTCTAAACCTGCAAGTCTAAACAATCCATTTATCTCAGAGGATATATTTGCAAATCCAATCGCCAGCGTTTGCAATAGATTTTTGCTTCGCTTGAACAATACCCCGAAGTCTATGATATTGGCTAACAAAATGAATAAAATTTTGGTTGCATATGTGTGTCAATCAAAAGACTGTAACCTTATGATTGTTATTTTCTCATGTTAATCATGTCTACAATTTTCATCATGTTTTGAAGTTTCTTAAATTCTTTTTTCTTAAATTCTTTTGTCATAATATGCAATGTATGAATATAAAATTCCCTTTTTTTTTTTTTTGGTTAAACATGAATTTCAATAGTTTGATTAACTGACAGATAATTCCAAAGCACATTTTCACCCATCTTTTTTTTGGGGGAAAAGACTTGAGAGTAACTCATCACTAGTGTTATTGAATGATAGGAAATTACGATTAAGGTCCTGTAATGTGGCTAATGACAAGCTAACTATTTGATGTGGCATGTCTTCTAAACTTGTGCCAGGCTGTTACTGGTTGAATCCTGACAAACATTACAAAGAAAATAACTTTGCTTGGGATGTATTGGCACATTTTTTTTGGCTTCTAAATTCTAATATGAAAATCCTTGCTTTTTTGATACACACAGTCTGCTCCTGTATTATAGGAAAATTAATTTTGCTTTTTTTTAAAATGTCTGAGGTGTCCTAACATACTGCTCGCAGGACATGCACATGTTGCTGAAGCTCTTGGTGTGCCACTTCATATCTTCTTCACAATGCCTTGGACGTAAGTCCATATTGCATAGCCCATGATTTTGTTTTGTATTCATGTTGTTTGCTTGTATCATGTGAATGCTGTAAACTTTTATCCTGTATCATGTCCTAAAATATTTTACTGTCACTGCCATCCTGCCAACGAGTTTACCCGATTTATTGGTTGGCATATTAAATACGTACTGCACAGTTGGGTCAGAATTGTGTATTTGTGCGCCCTACTTTTTTTCTGGTGATCGGAGCTAGGTCTAGTCCTGTACAAACTAGTGTTAAGTGTTTTCTGTGTTAAAGTGATATCTCATTTCAAGCGAGCTCCAGTGCTAGGCTATAAGATATTTCTCCGTGCCAGATCAAGCCTTCCTATGATGCTCATGGCCCTTTTCTTTGTATTAAAGCGTATATAGTGCCAGTCAATGAAGCAAGCAATCAACGTAGAACTTAAGTCGCTCACCTTAAGCATAGTTATTTTGGAGATAATGATGTGCCTTTCTTATATTTGTAGGCAGGCCCACAAATGAATTTCCCCATCCTATGGCACGTGTGCCCCAGAGTGCAGCATACAAGGTATATACTTCAGACGCGTTCAATCCTATGTTTTATTTGGCCGGCCTTTTGGGTTCATTACTAATCGAAAGTTTCAAATAATTTACACCATTCAGCTATCCTACATTCTTTTCGACTTAATAGTGTGGTTGGGAATTAGGGGATTCATTAATGACTTCAGGAAAAGGAAGTTGAATTTGCCTCCTGTTGCATACTACAGTACATACTATGGATCCATATCACATCTTCCAACAGGATACATGTGGAGTCCTCATCTTGTTCCTAAACCAAAAGGTAAGCTTGGGAATGGAATAGCTTAAACTTAACATTACTTGTTTTCTTTCTTTTGATTGCTTGAAGTATATATTCACCTTCTTCAGCGGCCGTTTATATTGAAATGCCTTCTGTGTGATATACTCTTTGTATTTTCAGTTATTTAAAATTGAATTAGGCACTGTTCATTATCAATGTTGTATTGTATGTGTAGGATTTTTTTCCCTTATGTTTTATTGACATTTAAATTATTTGGAAGATTTTTCATACAATTTTGAAGACTTTTTTCAGTAACTTCGGGAAATGCTATATTTTATTCTATGCCAGAAGGAAGCCTTACTAAATTTAGGTTTGACACATAACCAAGGTGACTACTGGTGCAGACATATGGTGAGAAAAGAGTTGTTTTTTATACAATTTGATTAACAAATGAAGTAGAAATGAGATTTTGGTGCGTTTTACGCTCAGTATCTTGCTACTCACAAATAACAGGTCATGGGGACATAAAAGTAAGATGTTAAATGCAATAGAAGAGAGAAAAATAGAAGAATAAAGCAGTATTAATCATATCGGTGGTAGAGAGTACCTCAGAATATGTTGCGATTAAGTCTTGTATTTCAGCCCCGAAGAGCAGCCCCGAAGACAGAGAACGAGTTAAAACAAGTGAAGAAAAGGTCCTTTATAGTTTATAGGCGGCCCTAAGGGGTCTAGTAGGAAGTTGATTGGGTATTTCAGGAAATCTGTTTGGCATAAGATTCATGGTTTGTTTTGTGCTCAGGTTTAGCCATATAAATATATGTTTTCCAGATCTAGGGTTGTGAGGAAAGCCAGCAGAGAGCTGCATATTATAAAAGAGTTGTAGCGAAGAAACAAAGGAGAGAAATCTAGAGTTTGTAAGGATCTTTAGGTGAGATTGAGAGAGAGTTTCTTGCGGGTTCCTTGAGGATGACAATAAAGGTTTAATCTTGGGAATAAAGAAGACTCAAATCACTCCCAGTTGACGTAGGCGATTGATGAACCATGTAAATCCTCGTGTCTTTTGTTTGATTTATCTTTTCTGCAAAATTGTTGTGGTTAGTTTTCTATTTTGTTCAAACATATCTTTTCATTGTTGTTTCCCTGTTGTCGAGATGATCGATTGCCCTAGTAAGACGGATATCTAGACGGATGATCGATTGCTTCCACAACAACCTCCAAGTTTGCCAACAGAATGAACTATCACCCATATTGTGGAAGACAGTCCATATTGTTGTTGGTTTCAAATTTAAGTCTGCTAAAATAACAGCTGGAAGTAGAGGAGAGCTTAAGATCTGCACTTATAAATAGGAACAACTGCTAACCGAATCATCGCCTGGATAGTGTTGTTTTATTCTAGTTCCATTGTGCTTAATCTGATTGCTGAAAGCTGGTTCTTCTGCCCCCTATGTTGTCAGGTTAATGGATTGGATGGTCTTATGTGGACAATGATATTGACTTATATCATTTAAATTATATAAACGAAGGTGTTGCTTATTGTCCAATGAATAAAAGCCAAAATAATGTACCAATCATCATCTCTAATTTAAAAAAGGATATAATAAAGTGCTGCTTAGTTCCGTCATATGTATGATCAAATCTTGTCACTTGCAGTAAGCTCTTTGAGTTATTTGGTGGCACATTGACATGGAAAATTAGCATGTATGCAATAGTCCTAAAAATCTTGTTGCTGCTTTCTCTATGATCTATTAAATTTCAAGAACTTACAAATAAATTGTTGGGCTCTATAATATGTCATATTATACCTAAGTTACATATGGGCTCTATAATATGTCATATTATACCTAAGTTACATATGTTCTGAGGTTCCCTTTCTATCTTGACCTTGTTTCATGACAGTCATCACGTTCTCTTGAGATTTATCATGTTTATCTCATCACTTTCTCTTGATATTCATCATGTTATTATTCCTATTATATTACTTATAATATTGTTACATTGGTTTCGATTGCTTTTGGCTGCATATGGACCTGTTGTCCTTAGTTGCCAAGTGGTGCTGCTATGGATTGTCGTAAACAATTGCTCTGCTTTTGTGTTGCTTAATAGCAACCAGAATGCCATATTTATGGCTTGTGATTAATTTGTATTATATGTGTGCAGATTGGGGTGGATTAGTAGACGTAGTTGGTTTCTGTTTCCTCAACCTTGGGACAAAGTATCAACCACAAAAAGCCTTTGCAGAATGGATTCAACAGGGGCCAAAGCCTATATATGTCGGGTTTGGTAGCATGGTATGTTTATTGCTTACACTTTCTTGCTAATTTGTGGAGATGAACCAGAAATTTCCTTACTGGTTCCTCGCATGTGAATGTTTTCACATCACAGGCTCATTTACATTTATATAATATCATTCAGAACTTTGACAATATTTGATGTATGCAATAACGTAAGAGGTATCTCAGTGGTTTTGTTCATCTCATGTTTATATTATCAGTTGAGTTACATTGTAGTGGATCAGGATCAATGTGAAATAAGGAAGAACAGTTCCACATGCTAATCGATTCTTCTTCTTTATTTTCATTTGTTAAAAAAAAAAGACCTTTCGATTTTTAAAAAGCTGAGGAGGAATATGGTGGGGGCATCAAACTGTTTCCAATATTAATATCTGAGGTGTTTGATAGTTTACTTCAAAGCCATCATGCAGTAGTTGATATAAAGGGTCTTCCAAATAAGGACCATCAAGACGCTGGTGAGCTTTTTACGCTTTGGCTGATCTTGTTGCAGACCCATGCATTTGTCCAGGTTTTGTTGATCATGGTACTAGGCTCCAAGGTTGGAGTTCATGCTAATAGCACTACTTGAAGTGAGTACACATCCTCGACTTGTGTTTTCAGTTTACATCTTAGATTGTCTGGACATGATATGCTCTGCTCCCAGATGGAAGCAAGGAGTATTAAAAGTCGGATTATTTGGATCCTCTACTTGAGAAAGTGAGACTTGTAACTGTTTACCACAGCATATTCATTCTAATTGGCTTTTGATGAGTGATGAAGGTATCTCCTTCATGAGTAATCAAGCTCCCACCGGTCCTTAGAATGTTGCTTTTCCATACATGTTACTTCATATTATTATTATTATTATTATTATTCTCCTTTTGGTGCAAGTTTTACTAAGACATGAGGATTCTTTTAGTCTTGTATAGCTGGGTTTTTAGCAACTAAATATTGTGTTTTGTGGTAGTGTTAGTTATGACTAAGCATGTTTATATTTTTGTGTCATATTGGGCCAACATCTTGCATCACTTAACTTGGGTATAACGTTGGGCAGCATGATGACTGTAGTTTGAAACTTCTGTATTTAAGACTATAAATCAAATTTACTGGTAAGGATGGTACCTGGTCCTCAGATCAGGTTTTTTCTTAGAGACAATCCGAAATGAGACTTTAATAGTTTCTAACCAGGAGCATATGGTACATGCTCTGATTATGAACATTAATGATTTTGTTACCACTTGTCATGCCCACATAACTTTGAGTTGTTAGTTGCATGATTTTGCATATAAGTTTGGTTTTGATCTTAACTTTCTCAACTTTTACTTCTGCCACACGATACGTGTGTCTATGTAGGCATGGATACCCATCTTATCATATTTTGTAGGCATAGAGTTAAAATGTGATGAAATGATCTTATGAATTTCAACAATATCCACAATTTTGCTATCAATAACTTTATATGATATGCAAGTTATTTGAAAATATGCTACAATTTTCTTATCAAGCCAAATTTTCTTCTGTTTGTGTTTAGCCTATTGAAGATGGCAAGAAGATAGTGAACATTATCCTGGTGTCATTGAAAGAGACGGGACAAAGAGGAATAATTGGTCGTGGTTGGGGAGATCTTGGAATCAGTAATAATTTATCCTGCCTCGATGTTCTTTTCCCTGCTGTAATAATGGATGTTTACTTAGATTGGCTATCACTTATCATGATAGTGCTGTAAATACTTATCAGGCATAGCATCTGTGCTTGATGCCATTATGCACCGAATAGGATCCAGTTTTGCTATCTGTGCATGCCTCGTGCATGCCTCGTTTTAAAAATGAGATCTTCCCTCTAATAAGCCAGTAGTTTCTTTTTCCAGGTACTGATATACCTGGTGATGTGTTTCTTATAGATGACTGCCCTCACGATTGGCTATTTCCTCAGTGTGCTGCAGTGGTGAGTTTCACAACTTCCTTTGCACTGAGCCATTTAGGAGATGGTTCCTGAATATCAATTTCGTACGTGTTCTTTTTCATTGTATGCAACATTGTGAGTAAATAACTATATTTCGTACAGAGGACGTAATCCACTTAAAGTTAATCTCTTTATTCTGTTGCTTGTCTGTCTCACATCATGAATAATGATGTATCTGATATTCAAGTCAAATATCGGAAAGATTTTATGAAATTTTGATAGTCCTTCTATGACAAGTTTTTCCATTTAAGTTAATGATGCTACTATGAATTTCTCTATCATTATGCTAAGAATCGGATTCAATTATTTAGGTTTATATACTTTTCTCACATATCATGATCTTTAAAATAAAATGTATTTGGGCTTCGAACTTCTGCTACAGCCATAACCTAGTAGGCTAAGGAATTTATTATGTTCGTGAATACCCATTGTGTGAGAATATAGTGTGGTGCCTCCAGAAATGAATAGCAAGATTAGTTTATGCTAGGCTCCTAAAGATATATAATATATTTCATTAGCTAGTAAATACAGAACAGCAGTTCACGAATTGTCAGTCAACTAACCCTTCTTTCTTAGGAACCGCTCAGAAATATTTTTCATATGTTGCATAGTCCTCTATGGAAATGTAGGAAATAAAAGCTGTTACCTCTTTGTGTATTCTGTTGCTAAAATTGAAGGCCCTGATCCGGTGGTCGCAAGATGTATTATTCTTGTTTTCTGTGTCTACTTTAACAAGCTCAGTGTGAGAGTGTTTAAAAATAAACATTTTTCAAATGGTGATGTTAGTCTTATAATCTAGAAGTTACTAGCTTTGTTTTGGCATGCTTTATTTAATTATATTCTTGCTGTGACAACATGCTCAGGTTCATCACGGTGGTGCTGGCACAACAGCTACTGGATTAAGATCCGGGGTAATGTTCTTTTTAAATTCTTTTCTTTATTAATACTTTGCTGATACATCATAACCTTCCCAACCTTCTACGGTGACTTCTAAAGCTAAATTATACTTCCAAGTCTTTATATACTTACTGTCTTTGTTGCCTCTAGTATCACTTTATTTCCTTTTCCAAGAAAAAAACCTTCTGTTGTTGATCATGGTGCTTATATTTTATCTCCTTTAGTGGAGATTAGGGGGTCTATTTTTTAACTATTTTTCGCAGTGATGTGTATTTTGTTGGGTGGATGAAAACGTATCTGTTCATTGAGTTGTGAAACTCTTTTAAATTTTTTTTCCTTTCATGTTTGGCGATTTAAAACTAGATACGTGTAACTATTCTAACTTCACCAAACTTTTCAGTGCCCAACGACCATTATCCCTTTCTTCGGCGACCAATTCTTCTGGGGCGATAGGGTTCACAAAAGAGGAGTAGGACCTGCACCAATCCCCATTTACGAGCTAAGTGTTGAACGGCTTTCAAATGCTATACGGTGTATGCTTGAGCCAGAGGTAGTCTATGTTATTTACATCTCTTATCTCCACATTGCACATAAACTTCTGTTATTCACATAGGACTCAACTGAATATCTTGTCCTTTCTATATGTATTCAAAGGTAAAATTACGAGCAATGGAACTTGCGAGAGAGATAGAGAACGAAAATGGCGTTAAAGCTGCAGTGGATGCATTTCATAAACACTTACCACCAGAGTTACCCATCCCTCCTCCCCTCTCCGATGATCCTCCTTGCCCCCTCCAATGGCTTTTTCAGGCCATTGAGAGGTGGTGTTGTCTTCCATTCACCTCATAGCTTCTCATCTCAATCATATTCATTTGTATATATCTAATTTATTTGTTTGTATTTGTGTTCTCTGTCCATTTTTCACACCATTATTCAATTTTCTGTAAATATGTGGACACTTAGCAGGTAAGTTTTTTCTTGTTGTGCATCATATGTTGTGGTCTTTCTCATGACAAGCAGTTTCAGGGAGTTTTGGAAAGGTTGATCATGTACTTTTAAAAAAAAAAGTGATTTATGATTGTATTCAACTGCATGATCAGTTGTTGATCTAGGTTACAATACTTTTTTGCCTTACAGGTAACTCGTATGATAATAGTAAATATCGGTGTTTATGTTTTCCTGTGAAACATATACTGGTTTATGTTTTCCTGTGAAACATATACTGGTTGGTGTCGCGGGGCGAAAAATACACAATTCAGTACCCTTTCTTTTAGCTCCGTAATAAGTGTGAACATACTGGTTACTGAGTACATGTATCTTTTTGTTATTATTATTAATTTGTTTCGAAGTAATTGTCGTGTACGGTATATAGCAATAGCACTTTCTCAATGTATTAGGGATCTTATTAGAACTACCCCTATATGAGTGAGAGTGGGATGATCTTCACTATAAATAGGAGTTGTAATTTCCAAATTAATCCTCTTAACTACCGGTGAATAATATGAATCTCTCTTTTCTACGTGGTGCTTTAATAGGATCGTCTTCCAAATTGTCATCTTAACCAAATATACAATATTTCATATTTTCCCAATTGATTAAAAATTTGATGCTTATTTCATGTTTTTATTTAGAGATGAATTATGGTCATGTACAAATTTACAAGTCAACACGACGGACAAGTAAACGAAGCGACAGTAAGTACAAGTTCCGGAAAGTCGCAAAGTGCCAAAAAGAAGAAGTTCAGTTGAGGCGGTTAACCCACGACCACGTGAGACGGTGTTGGCGGACTCGTGCCGGCACGGGTTCAGCACGAGCCGTTTCGCGCAGTCCTGACCTGAAAACACGTTTTCAAAGGTTTTGGGCTGTTTTCTCGGGATTTATCTGTTCCAAAGGTTCCCAACTGACTTGATATCATCCACAAACATGGTTAGGTCGTTATTGATTGAAGATAAGACCAAATCTCTCATTCTCATCCAAATACCCGTATCCAAAGCCTATAAATACACGTTTAGGGGCTCATTTCACGGGGGAGATCAAGAGGGCGAAACGCTGTCGAATTGGAGAGTGAAGCCACGAATTTACAGCGAGGGTTAGCAGATCTTAGCGAGTTCCTGTGTATAAAGAGTGGAGTTCGAGAGATCTGTGACTCGTCCTCTATTCCTTCGGATTTAAGCTTAGTCTTAATCTCGAGAAGAGTCATAATCTCGCTTGGTCGGGATTATCGCTGCAACGATTACTTTCTTCGTGAAGTAAGAGCTTTGATTAACTTAATCTGTCAACCGGATCTGATCCGCGGCGGTCCACGGATATTAACATCCTCGGCACAGGCGAAGTTCTCACGCAAGCAGCGGATGATAAACGTCCGCTGCGCTGTTTGACAAGAGTTGTAATTTTCTATTTTCATTGTATAAGTCGTTCTTATAAAAAGATCCACTTTTCTCGTTTATTTGAGTTTATTGTAACGACCAAAGTTGTAATAGATTCGATAATAATGAAAACATCAACTTTTGACCAAAACAGTTGTGATTTATCTCGTTCTTGTTCGTGCAGTCTCGTGTGATTCGAGTTCCGCTGCGCACAACAAATGTCATCCTCAAGATAGTTGTGGTGGTCATAACGTTAGCCTGGAGCTCATGGGCAGCATACCCATTCATGAGTGGTGCTGTCAATCCAAGGAGAAAGGCCTTAGCTCTGTACGGCTGTACCCGGTCTTTCTTATGTACATATCTGTTGGCTTCTTGATCGTTGCCACAGATTGAGGCATCGACAACTTCCGCATCGTCAAAAATGCATATAGCTTCTCTTATCATCTTCTCTCAAAAAAATACTTACCATTGAAATTTTGTTACATACAGATATAGATGCATACTACTCTGTAATTTGACTTGTAGGTTTATTACACCTGTGTACAGGGATTGCACATTTTGCCTGGCTTCAGTTGAAGAGGTAGGAATTGCAATCATAAACATCATATATGTTTGAAGAATTTCAGTTATCGTCAGGCCTTACCGTCCAAAGGTTCGATTTCTGATGTAATTTTTCATATTTGTATATTTGAAGTATTATTTCTTTCACGAGCGCGGCTGTTAATCCCAGGAGAAAGGCTTTAGCCTTGTATCGTGTCTTTCTTGAATGCATCTCTGTCAGTTTAATTTGTCATTGCCATAGACTGAGAATTTGCGTCACATACGGGTAGGGGTGGAAACCATTTCGATACGGCTCGGATACGATACTTATCATGTTCATCTCCGCTTGCCATTCACGGATACGGATATTATGCCGCTAAAGTCGGTTACGGATACGGATACACATACGGATGTATATGCGGATAGACATGCCGATACAAAAACGAATAGAAGAAAACAAAAAAATATATCAAAAATATATTTATTGTTCGCATGGTATGGGAGTGTTCATTAATATGTTACATCTGAAAAGCTAGGATTGGAGCATCATCAGAATTAGTGTTAAATTCGTTAATCTAAAGATTGAAACAATTGCAGCTCCGTGATCAACGTACATTCGGAAATTTTCAAAAACTAGTACGGATATTTCAGAACAAAACCGTATCCGTAACCATATCCTATCGGTTATATATTTGAGTAACAACCCCTGCATGTAGGTATAAGTGCGTATTACTCTGTAATTTTATTTATAGGGCACATATTTCGCCAGCCTTTGTTCTCAGGTGAAAGTCAGTCGTAAAGTGAGTGATATTTGTGTCGTAGCTCACTTCCGTCTCGTACTGGAAAGCTTGCATTGGTGCAAGCAGGATGTTGCTTTGACCCTGGAGACTTGCTTGACCCTTGAATCGCTGCAGTCCACTTCGTTTCTAGTGCTAACGAAGGCTGACCGGTGATCTTGAATTAATGAAGTAGTTAGTCAAGTCAATCCGTGTTCATAAATCCATATTATTAGTCAGCCCTCAAAGTCGATATCTTGAAGAAAATAGCGCAACGCTTCACTTGTATCCCTTTTTTTTCTTTTTCCTTTTCTTTTTTTTTTAATATTATAGCAAGGCTTGGTCTAGACTCTAAAGTTGACGTCAATTCTTGTGAGATGCACAGGAATGGCAGTGTTAGGTAGTAAGAGTTGAAATGAAGAATTGAAGTTTAAATTTCTATAAATTATAGGAAAAGGTAAACACCCGAAATATAGATTTTCTTGTATTTCTATAAAACTTGTAGGAAAAAATTATAGAATCCAAGGAGTACCATATTTCTTATTTTTTGCTATTTCTTTGTTTGGTTCAAAGTATGAAGAAAGTTCCTAACTTTATAGAAAATATGTTGTTGTTGTTTTTTTGTTGGATATCACTTTATAGAAAATAGCTTACTAACAATGCCCATGAGAAATCACATGGGAACGGTATTTGTATACTTAATTAATTTTTTAATATATGCATCAGATTTCTTAGTGTTTTCCGTCTATTTTTAGTGGAAAACAATTTCTGTAAAATTGTACAGATTTCTGTACTTTATAGAAAACTTTTCTGTAAATTCAATGTTGAACCAAACATAGTTTATGGAAATCTACAGAAATCTATTATTTACGATGACACCATTGTTGGGTGTTTTCTCAAAAAAATTCCAAAAAATAAGTGAACCTGTTACCTGTAAATGGTTTACAGAAAGAGCTTTGCTACAGGGACCCAAAATATGAGATCAATAAGGGGGACAAGTGAGATGTCCGCCTCCTATTGTTTACAGAAAGAGCTTTGCTACAGGGATCCCTCTTTATCCAGTTCCAGCAGCAAGAGCTCATCGTCTTCGCCAATGGTGTTGTCCTCAACAACAACTCCCTGTTCCCCTTCAACACCTCGGACTCCGATGGCCTCGCCTCGTTCTCGGGCTTCCCGAGCCCAGATCTCAAAACCCCCATAGAGACCGCTGGAGATTTGACCCAGATTCAGGCCCAGATCGACCTCGTCGGGACTTTCTTCGTGTCACCTCTACCCGCTTACCTGTTGCCTAAATCAATATCCCTCGATGACCCTTTATACATCTGCCCATCACCGAAGTTGGGTTTCAATTCGAGCAGTTCGCCAATTAGAGTAGTCGCGAATGTTTAGGAGCAGGATGAGGAGGAGGAGGAGGAGGAGGGAGAGGGGGGAGGGGGTTAGGAGCAGGATAAGTTTTTTATAATGGAGTTTTATGCAAAAAATCCCACCAACACTGGCCGGAACAGTAACTCCGGCTAAACTTAAGGCCAATATGACGTCGGAGTTAAAAATTTATATCAATCTGACAAAACTTTAAAAAAATATACCAACTTGTCACCAAGAAATTATACCAATCTGGCCATTTTGCCTATTGAATAATGAGTTGGTCATCATTAATGATAACCAACTCATTATCCAATAGGAGGGAGACACATCACTTGTCCTCCATATTGGTCCCATATTTTGGGTCCTTATAGAATTTTTCTTACAGAAAATAACTACACAAATGCTGTCCTAATTTCCAGTCGACTTAAAAAAAAATTTATTCTCATTAACCAGAGACGTGACTTTGAAGGAATCAGTTTTTATATTTTATATAATATATATGAGTAATTGGACTGAGGTGTCTTCTCATGCTCTCATTTAATACATCTAGGGAAGTACGGTGGTCTATACCATTTGTAGTTGAGTAGTTGAGTAGAGGAATAGTTCAGGAATTATAGCTACTCTATCTCTGGCTTAAATCGCCACACTTCTATGAGGATAGTTCTAATAGCATTCTTTCTCGTAGTACACCACGTTTAAACACTATCGAAAAAAACCCCCTTAACTTTCAAAAATATCAGAAATCTCCCCTTAACTTTGGAATATTATCGGAAAACCTCCCTTAACTTTCAAAATATCAGAGAACATAATTTAAGTATTGGGATTATCACAAAACCCCCTCTAACATTAAGATTTTATCAGAAAACACCCTTTTAACTTTTGGATTTTATCAAAAAACCCTCCTAATTTTGGGGAGCTTCTGATAAAACATCAAAGTTAATGGGGATTTTCTGACATCCCCTAGAGTTTTGGGAGGGGGTGGTCTGACATTTTTAAAGTTAATTAAGGGGTTTCTTTGGTAATCATCCAAAGTCAAGGGCCTAATTCTCACGACAAACACCTGAAAAGACCAAACTATCCCTTAACAACAAAATAGACTTTAAGCTAGCGCGTATAAATTTTCCCTGCCATCTTCATTGCTCCTTCTAAGAAATTCCCCCCTCTTCCAAAAATTAAGCACCTCTTTCCCCCCCCCCCCCCAAAAAAAAAAAAAAAACTAAGCAACGCGGTCCACATATATACACCACTCACCAGACTCCTTACTCCGTCATAGTATACGCAACACGCATATTAATAAAAAACCCCAAACATCATCAAGGAACGAACCAAAACCAACAGTTTCTACGGACTAGCTAGCCAACCAGCACCTCTCATCTCGACGAAGTCTCTTGGAAATGGCGCCGCTCGCTGGGCGGGCTGACGGAGGTGACATATCACGGCGGCGAAGCAGCTCGTTCAGCCTGAGAGTCGAGCTCTCAGATTATTACGGCCGGCGCGGGCCGCGCAACGACGATAACGACGACGACACGATCAAGAGGCCGAGGAGATCATACGTTGATGATGATCAAGAAGAAGAGGACGGGTTGATCATGAGACACTTGAAGAGAAGGAAGAGATTTGTTTCTTTAGTTTACATATATGAGGTGACAAAACCAGTCGCGGTTAAATCTTCGTAGCTTCGAGTTATTAATGTTGATCAGTGCGTGCATAATAAGCTGACATGGCCAACCCGTTATGCAATAGGAGGGGGACACCCTACCCGTCCTCTCATTTGGTTCCATATTAATTGTGGGTCCTTAACGTATTTTTCTTAATTAATAGAACATGTATATATATATATATATATGTAGTAAGGAAAGAAAGCAATATATCTTTGTTTCTTTTTTCTCTGTTATATATCTTGGGGGTGGAATGAAGAAATAAATATCTTAATTTTCTAAGAAATTTTCTTTGTTTATTGTTCTCTATATATTTTCATAGGAGTGAGCTATGAAATGCGTGGATCTGTTGGAGGAAAATCATGGTCTTTTTTATGTGTGACCAATTTGATGAACGATGATGTTG